AAGGGAAGAAAGGAACAGCTGGACAATCAATCTGAACTCTCGCTTAGTCTTTCCCGGATTGCAAAACGAGTTACGAACACCTGATATCAGTTTTCCAGAGCAATGTAGCCAGTTTGCATCAGCTTATCAAGTAACACTTATGGGTTGGAAGTACCTGATGCCATTTGGCTACCAACCAGGTGCTATCGCCGTCCTTTCCTAAAAGGGGATAAAATCGGCAACCAACTGATCATTATGTACAGGTGTGCGGTTGAATTCAACGTGAAGTCAGCCGGCGTTCTCAATGCCCCCCTTCCCCCCACAACCCTGTACCCTGGCCAGGGGCAGGGCCCCTAGCCCCAGGGGTTGGGGGGGTACAAAAGCATGGAAAAAGAAAGAAAAGAAAAAACAGTGGGTGTGCAGAAGTGGCACTCACCAGTGGGGGTTTCCCAACAGTTGAGGGTTTGGGTACCTCCCTGCCCCCCCCGGGATGCAGTGGGACCTGGGCAGGGGTGTGGGCGGTCCAGTGGTGGGCAGGAGCAGGGGTGCACCGCAGAGGTGGACCTCCACAAGGGGGTGGAGGATCCCTGCATGGGGTCTTTTTTTCCCGCCCTTGCTTTAACTCGTGGGGGTGGGGGTTATGGGCGTGGAGGATCCCCAGATGGGGGTCCTTTTTCTCTACAGGGGCTGTTGGGGGGTGAGGAGGGGCGGGCGTGGTGCGGCCTTGCAGGGTAGGGGATGGGCAAAGGTTTTTACACTGCACATACCTCTCCGTGCACCCTGCCCCCCCCCCCCCCAACCACCACCACCATCCAGGAATACGGCTTTCTCCGTGGTTCCGTGCATTTCCATCCATAGGAGGAACACACAAAGCCGATTTCCCCACAAGGGCCACAACCAAAATTTTGACCCTCGCACAAGGGTCTTTCACCCCTAAGTGGGGGTGTGGGGGTCCACCCTACGACCCCTGTTTTCTTGCAGGGATCCCCCTGTCACAACTCTGAATTCAGCAAACAGCAATGTAATATGTATGTATGCATCATTTTTTTTTTTATTTTTTTTTTTTGAACAACACCCCCTGCAGTGTTAGTGCTGCTGCTAAAACCAGGCACCACTAGCACCCGGGGTGGGGAGCATCACCTGCTGGAAAACGGTTCAAGCGTCCCTTACACACAGCAAAGCAGGAAAACATCAGGAGGTACCACTGATTATTACACCTGCCAGCATTGATTACTCTGTCCTCCAGAGGATTGACTGCGCAGGTTGCTAGTGAGAGAGTCATTTCCATCCCAATTTACGTATCCATCATTAAGTGACATTAACTGATTTTCACCGTTCCACGCTTCCAATGTCCTGTCTCTTAGAGCAGAAGGAAACGATTCTTCTGACAGGGGCCCGTTGTGGAAGGGGTGCCTCACTCAACGGATCAAAGATGTGCCGGAGATAACAGACTGATAGCAGACAGCCTTTAGGGATTTATCAATCACTAATTGATCAACATCTACTTGGATGTACTACTCAGGCTAACAGCAGCCAGATTCGGATTCAGACAAGCTGAAGAAGCGTGCATTGACCTCAAGGACAATGTTGCAAGAGTTAGGAGAAAACTTGGAGAAGTGTGTCGTTTCGGGTGTTTAATACTTTTTTTATCAATGGGAAGTGTAATGACCCGCCATAACACAGACTGAGAACACTGCTGATTTCTGAAGTTCTGCCGATGGAATGGATGCCTTGCTGAGATTCCCACATTCTGCTGTGTTTTCTAAGTCTGTATGTGTGTGTGCCTGTTGACTTGCGTGCCTGTCTGAGTGCTTGTTGGCATGAATGTGTGTGTGAGCCGTAAGGGTACTTGCTTGTTTGGCAGGCCCGTAGGGCCGGTACTTACCTGTGGCCGTGGCATTGAGGGTTGCAGCAGGGAAAACAGTCAAGTAGCGGAGCCAGGGGCCCGCGGTGCTTAGGGCAGCGGAAAAAACACTCAAGTAGCAGGTAGGCCGGTACCGCACCCAGTAGCAGTAGATGTGCTGGGTACTCGAGGCCGAGCAGAAGAAGACAAAGTTGGCATTTTTAGAGGCCCAGTAGCGGTAGGCTAGGTCTATGAAGGTACCAGTCCACCCAGTCTGAGTCTAGAGCCTGTACGGGCAATATCAGAGTCTGCAATGATGTTTCCCTCCGAAAGGGAGGAGGTACCGGTTGCTTGGGAGGCCGAGCGGCCTGGAAGTCACCGCCCAGGAGGCAAGCAGGCCGCTATATCAAGAGGCCAAGGCAAGAGCTCGGCCTCATTCTTCAGTGTGCAAATTTGGCGACACGCTGCTGGAGCGCTGGCTGGAGTGGCGCTGGGTACTACAGCGCTGCTAGGAGGAAGAAGCCGGGAGCTTCCACCTTGGCTATGGTGGAGCTCTACCGGTAGGAGGAGGAGGGAGAA